TACAGAACAGCTTTAATCTGCTGGCCTTTTAAATAAATTTAGATAAATCACAATGATCTTTATAATATGAATCCACTAATAGACAGACTCTTGCTGAAGAGATAATAGCCAGGGAGTTTATCCAATTCTTCAGAGAGAATTACTTAATGTCTTTGTAAACGATACTGTAGATCCATATTGATTAAAGAATAAAAGCTGTTCTAAACCTCTGCAACCTAGCAGAGAAAACAAAAATATTTTCCGAGCCACAAAGATGCAAACCTAATACCCCTGAAAACTCACAATTACACTAATGCAGAGATGTCCAATGGTGATATCACAGATTGGCAAATAAAGACAAAGGCTGGAGAGTGTTTCTTGCTGCAATTGCTCTAATTAAAGTTATGTAAGCAAGTTTGTATATTCAAAAAGATCCACGACACAATGTCGTTTTATACCATGCAAATAGAATTTTTACAAAAGCTTTAATTGTTATTAGTTTCCCAGGCATGTCTTCACAGACTTGGTTTCTGTGTCTTATAAGGGAGTCTTTTCATTCCACCTATCATCTGCATTTCCTTACAGTTCTCATGTATTTTGCAGGGTGGTTTATAATGCTGAATTGAGTCCTACCGATTATACAGGAATCAATTCTGATTGTTTTTAGAATTCCCCCTGTGCGGTACAACTCCTCTACACCAAATGCACACAAAGACACGCTAAGTCTTTATAGCACCAAAGCAATATTAAGGTAAGGCTGTCAGTCCATGGAGCAGGGAATATAATTTAGTTTTAATTTGTTATTAATATGCAGTTTCAACTGCTTTTCACCATTTTTTTTTGTTATTTGACATGACCCAGCCTGCGTTTGGCTCCAACATTTGTGATTTATGTACACCTGCAGTCGTGGCAGAGAGTCTGGCTGGAGTGGTGTCATCTGCTTTATTAATCTACTTTGATCCCTAAGATAGTTCCAATAGTGATCTCAAAGTTAAAGATACTTTCCTCTGACTTGTACTGTGCTATACAAGACTGTAAAATGTTGATGATTATTATCATTATTTTAATATTATTAAGGAGAAACATTGCATTATTATTTCAGGATGTCTCAGACATTGATCCAGTGGAATTGCTTTATTCCGCAATTCTCCCAACACCGTAAGAGGGAATTCAAAGGGATGAAGGCATGCAAATAGAGGAAATGCCTTCTGGAGCCAGCACTCCTCCTGCAGAAAACAGCTCCTTCTGTCACAACACAAAAGAGGCAGACAGACCTAGAAGAGAGGGATTTACACCCAGTGACAATTGATTCTGTCTGTTGGACAGTACATGACCACTGTTCTTGTGAAAACAACTCAGATCAGTCCTTGTATTGACGCAACTCTAATGAGTACCTGCCAGTGAGCACTAAGGACAGTAAATCAAACTAGCTTGCCAGACCAGCAAAGTCTTTGAGGCTTTAACAGCTTTGAAACACTTTCCGGTCTTATTAAAAAAATATAATTCCCCTAGCTCCAAGAGCATGCCTGACTATCCGTAAAATTTTCATTAACCTTTAATTGGCATGTCAATGGCATTGTTAATGAGACAGAGACGAATATGTAATACCTTAGTCTGAATGCCAAACTGAAAAATCTACTTATCCGGTTCAAGGCCAGAATAATGAGTTTTGCTCATGAGAACATTGGATTTACAAAAGCATATGATGATTCCAGTGCGGAAAAGCATGACAAAATTCAGGAGAGGAAGAACAGGAAACTTTGGTTCTGATTTAGCTGTCAGCTTGGAAAGCAGGAGAGAATAGAACAGAGGAGAAGAATATCTAGATTTGTTTTGTTTCAATACTATGAAAATTAGATGTAATGGAGACTGAATATCATCTTCAGTATCTATCTATTCTATTTGACATGGCCCTTCAGCTAGCAATGCAAAATGAGCTTGTCCATGCGATATGATGACTGACTCTTGGGGTAGCATAAAGTAGGCCAGCAGTGCAGCCCCAGTTCTTACACGGCACTCTGGCTGTGCAGTCAGAGCAGAGCTGGCACTGCAATCTGTGGTCTTGATTGTCTGCCGCCCTGACACAGAATCAGTTTACCTGCACCCTTTTGCTAATGGTGCAGTACACGTCAAGGATAACAAGGAGGCCCACTGTGAATCTCGCACAAACTGTGCCCAAATCCCTCATGCTAAAATGAACTCTAATCCTTAAAACTCACTCTAAGCCTATGCACAATCCCAGCGCCTAATGCCAGCTAAAACATTCACCTAACCCCAAGACTCTCAGTAATCCTAATCACAATTCCAGCACTTGCAACAATTCTATTTCAATTACCCAGAGCTGATTCCCAACCTCACTCTAACCTTGACCTGAACATTCATCCTAACGGATCCTAACTGGAACCTATTAACCAAATTCTAAATATTACACCTCCTCACATCACTACTCTTAACACTGCTCAGCAGCTCCAAATCCAATTTCATCATAGGCGTTGTTTTGCTTTTTTCAAATTGAGATTTAAAAGCACCAAACGCTTCTTCTCCTCCAGTCTTTGACAGCAGGGGGTCTAATACAAACCACATTGGGCAACTCGCAATCCTGCCTGTTTGAAGTGATTTGCCATGGTTTATTGCTCAAGCCCCATTATTTATGACACACTTCCAGATTGTTTTCATTTGCAGTGATGCAAGACATCCGGGAGACTGAAGAAACAAGATTTAATTGTAATGGATCCCAAGAGCCTGAAGTCCAGATTTACCTAGTCTTTTAAAAATCAATTTGCCATAAAGAGAGCTTGGGAATATATACATACATTGAATTCGAAATTGGAAATCAAAACCAGCCTGGAGATCCTTATGACTATAAAGCCTCCCTAGAATGCCATATTAAATAAAATGACTATAATTACTAATGCTATTAAATGTCCAGATTCTTCAAATAGATTGTCTATGCCATTTTCTCGCACAGTTGGATAGCATTGGAGACCAGAGAAAATGACCCGAACTGCATTGTACGTCCACAATCATCCTGAAAGCCGGTCAGTGGGCCTGTGTCAGGTCCACTCACCGGGCTTCTGGAATTGGGCTTCTGGAGTGAGCAAAGCTAAAGAAGAGCTGACAGTGTGTATGTCCGTATTAGGGTGATGCCAGGCACCTGGGATAGGGTCAGGGTGACCAAGACTGCACCGCACTGGCATTTGTGGCATTGGGGCTCTAACGTGTGTTTGGACTGAGGTCAGAGGTGCAGCTTCACAAGGGGAGGTTTGAATGCCTCTGAAACATTTCCCAATGGGTTGGGGAAGTTGTGTTACAGCAGCTGAGCTAGCCAAGCCTGCAGGAAGACAACAAAGCATACCTAGAAGATCAGCTAAATGGCAGTTCTCTGCAAGACACCTGAATAATGCATCACACTACCGTCTTCTCTGATTATCTGTGGACCACTGAAGTACAGCGTTAGTGAGCCAAGTGCTTGATTATGTTAATGGCTGACAAGGATAGCCCATCCTTTCCTGCCAATAACTCATACCAATGCAGAATAGTGTACAGCCAGCTTTTTGATAGCCTGCTTAACAATATCCAATTCGAATTTGATTTGTTATTAATATCTGACGGTGACAAAGAATTGATCAAATGTTTTGGACTGATTGATATGTTACGATTCATGGGAGCAGGCAGAGACCCCATCTGATTCAAAATAGTTTCCTAGTTTGCTGGCATATAAGAAGACAAACAGACTAACCTGTGCCCCCTCAGTATCTGTCAATAAAAATTGTAAAAGTTTGTTGAAGGGATACATTAGAGGAGCTTGCATGTGAGAGACCCAGGTGAAAATTATTTAAAGGATGATGATCAAAGAATAAACCTCTCAAATGACCAAAGTGACTTTAAAAACCAACGCCAATAGCATGCTTTTTTAATTTTTCATTCTTGGAACCTTTTTTTGGGGGGCGGTTGATCCTTTAGTGCTTTGTCTCTGCTATCGGAGATGAAGACAAGAAAGAACACAATAAGAATGCCTTGAAGGTCATCTCAGAAAGGCTCATTTGTAATGATCTGAGACCAATTGCTTGAAAAATGGTTAAATCGTATCTGGGAGGCCTGGCTTTTATGAATAACGTGAAGTCTAATCCAATTTTCAAAAACTGGTGCCAGATTTACGCCTGAATCGAGAGCGCAGAGAATGGAAAAAAAAAATCTCAAGATGGAATCTGCCCTCCTGAGTCGTAAGCTGCTTTATTTATTTTGATTTTTTTAATGAAGTTCTAAAGCCCTGTCACTGTTCGGCGTGTTGGAGGAAAATTCAATCTCTATATTTTAAACGTAAGCTGTATTTTTAGTCCATACACTGCATAATTAGAGCACCTTGAACTGTTCATCCCAGTACTAGCTTTCCTGTGACTCTGATGTATACTGTATCGCTTTATTCCTTACACAGTAAAGAGCTGCACTTTTCAAAATGGTGCAGGCATATGCAAAAACGTATTTGGGCTGGCTGTATCGGTGAGACGTGAAGGTGCAACAGTTTTTAAAAAAATCAATTTTTAATAGGAAGAAAATTGGAATAATGCTTTTTTCACTACACTGAGCACAGAGCCACACTGCTATAATACACATTTCACTCCAATAAGAACCATGATCAAGCTCATTCATTTTATCAGCGAAGTCTGAGAAAGTTCAGCAATACACAAATATGATGATCACCTCATAAACCACTATAAGCATCAATATTAGCACCATGCTTCTGAAACTAAATATGTTTTCTTAATTTAAGAGTAAATGTTTTGTACATCAGTGTATGCACATTCATCAGAGACCTCTTTGAGTTATTGAACTCTCATCCCTCCTAACAAGTGATGATGTTCCAGCAAGTGGTATAATTGTGAATGCATTGGCAGCCCATTGCTGGGATATTTCAGGGTATGAGCCATTCAAAAGCTGGCTGTAGCAAGACACTGAACATGTGAAAAAGAATGCTTTTGCTGTATGGTCAGGAGTACCTTTAACAAAGAGAGTTAACCTACCTGTGAGGTTTCCAGATACGATGAGCAAAGCATCACAGGACAGTTCTGCAACGGTGTGCGAGACCAAGGTAATCCAAAGGATAAACACCTGCAGACCCCCCAAAAAAGAGAGAGCTTATTACTTTTCTTACTTTTAATTTTAGTCTTGATTTGAGACTAGCTGGTAAACTGGCTCAGATTAGGTTTTTGGAAGGACACCTGCCAAAGAAATGAAAAGCAAACATGTTATTAGTACAGTAAAGATTTTGAGCTGGCACTCCGTATTTCGATGCAAGATCTGGAAGATTTATGGAATGGATACATATTTTCCATGTCTTCCCAAGTTACTCGGTCGCTGAGCTGAAGCTCTAGGGAAAAAAAAAAAGGTCTTGAAGAAGCTATTTCCAAGACATGGAATTGTTGTTAAAAAACAGTTCATGGTGAGAAAAAAAGCAACCTACATTTAGTATAGTTTTAGTATAATTTGTCTTCACCCATTGTTTTTTTAAAGGAAAAATCCAACAAATCATTTTATTGATCTGTATTAAAACCCCAACAGCAACTCAAATTTCCATAATATATATATATAACTATACACTCTATACCTCTGTAATACTTCTAATAACATCTGAAGGCCTGTTTTTAATATACTGTATTTAATTGAGTTTTGAGTCTCTGATTTTTATCTGCAAAGCAATTCCGTCCTTGGTATTTTCTCATCAAATCTACTACAGCTGCTTCATTCTTTTTCTGCTAATTCTGCACAGCTTATACCTGCATCTGTAACACAAACTCTACAAATGGTCAGAAGATTTGTTATAAAGGGTATTCTCCCACATCCACGCCACGAGTACATAAGTACTCAGAATGCGTAACCAGAACATTGGGATACTTTGCAGTTGACCACAGTGAACAAAGACAGCTTAAGTGAGGTTGGCTGCAGTTGTCCTGGGTAAGAAACCCTAATCAGAAGCCATATCACCCTGCAATGCACAGCTGGCAGCCCCACTGAAGCTCAGCAGGTGTGAGCC